ATGCGTATTTTGCACACGGGCCCGGCCAGGCCATTTAATGTGTTTCCGAAAGGGGCGAAGTTGTCTGTGCAACCCAAGAGGGGGGTTTAGGGGTTGCTTATATAGAATTTTGGAATTTTGAGATTTGGAATAGATGCCGATGGGGTTGGGGAGGAGAACTAAGGGAGCTGGGTATGGTGGATGTTTGTTTGTTTATGTGATTTTGATTTGGTAGGTTATTGTGTTTTTAGATGCGTTTTATTAGTTCCGTTTTGATTAAGAATACGCCTAAGGCCTTGACGTTTTCTAGTTTATTTTGTGGGTTAAGTATTGCTTCTAGAGTGAGAGCCTTGTTTAGATTGAGGGTGGTTTGTAATGCGGTTCGATGTGTAAGGTAGTGTGTGCAGTTGATGAGTGCGTGTTCTGGGGTTTCTGGTTGTTTGCAGTGTGGGCAGTTACCTGTAGTGTGTTTTTTTATATTTTTTTTAGGTGGTTATTTAGGTTGGTGTGTCCTGTTTGGAGTTTAGTGATTACTCTGTCGATTTTTTTTGATGGATGGAGAATTTTTGGTTTGGTAAGTGGTTTGCTGAGCACTTTTTTGATTTGGCTATTTGAGTTTGGATATAGGCTATGCCATTTTTTTGTGATTTTTTGCTTGTTTACACTTTTAATTTCTGATGGGTAAATTTAAGCTTATTTCTGGGATTTTTAGGGATAGTTTAGCTGCTTTATCGGCGTTTTCATTACCGTATATTCCTACGTGGGCGGGTGTCCACAAGAAGGTTATTTGTTTGCCTGCCTTAGTTAGGTCGTTGGAGCTTTTAAGTATTTGATTTATTAATTTAGGTCGGTTTTTGGTATTTATGTTTTGGAGGGCTTGCAGTCCACTTAGGGAGTTCGTAAGTATTAGGATTTTTTTTGTGGTTTTTGGATTCTTGATTATGGAGGGCTGAGGCCATGCCCATTAGCTCTGCCGTGAATATTGATTGGTTGTTTGGGAGTCGGAAGGATTGTGTGGTTTTAGTTGGTTGTGTGGTATGGACTCCGAAACCTGTGTGTTTGGAGGTCGGATCTGAGGATCCGTCCGTGTAAATGTGACACCAATTTGGCCAATTTTCGTGTATGTATGCTAGTGTGGTAGTTTTAGCTATGTTTAGGTCGGTTTGTTTATTTATTTGGCTAGCTAGTGTTGTGTCTATTTTGGGTATTTTAAGTTTAGGGGTGAAGATATTTGATTGTTTGCAGTTTTGTTTAAGATTTTTAATTTGGTGTTCATTTAAGTAGTTTGTTATTCTTTGGGATATTGGGGTAAGTAAGGGGTGTTTACGAGCTAGAGCTTGGTTTTGGGGGCTGATGTTTTGGTTTATTAAGTTTTGGATGAGAGGGTTTGATTGGGACGCGGCCCAGAAATTTAAGCTTCGCTGTTCCCTGCGTAGACTTAGTGGCATTTCTCCTGTTAAGGTCTGAAGTGAGGTGTCAGCCCATTGTTGTATTTTATTAAGAGATTTTTGGAGTAAATTTTGGACCATTTTCATGCTCTTAGTGCGGATCCAGATGGCTCCATCATCCGCGAATTTTGATGTGTTCTATAGGGGATAGGCCCTCGAATAGATCGTTTATCATTATATTGAAGAGGGTGGGGCTGAGGATACTGCCCTGTGGAGTGCCTTTTTCTAGGGGACATTGGTCCGATAGAGTTTGGTCTATACCCACGGTTATTTTACGATTGTTTAGGAAGTCCTGAATGTAGTTTATTATCTGACCTTTGAGTCCTATTTTTTTAAGTATTTGTATTAGCCAATCGTGCCATACCATGTCGAAAGCTTTAGAGAAGTCTAAGAAGATGCCTGTGGTATATTGTTTATTTAGTTGTCCTGTCTTAATATCTTGTTCTAGTCGAGCGAGGTTATCTAGGGTTGAGCGGCCAGGAGTGAAACCGCTTTGATCTGGGTTTATGATGTTATTTCGGGTTAAGTAATGTTGTAATCTATTTTTAGCCATTGATTCCATTATTTTACATAAGTTTGAAGTTAGGGATATTGGTCTATATGAGTTAGCTTGATTAGCTGGTTTATTAGGTTTAGGGATTGGTATGACTAGGGCCTGTTTCCAGGGAGTAGGAACCTGTCCGTTTAGGTAGATGAGATTGTATAGTTTCAGTAGTTCCTGGAGTAGTTTTAGGGGGAGTTTTTTAATTATTTGGTAAGAAGTTAGGTCTAATCCTGGGTCTGTGCCCTTTTTCCTGTTTTGGATTACGTAGAGGAGCTCCTCCATTGTGTAGGGTTGATTTATTTCTAGATTGTTATTGTTTGGTTCTTTTGTGGGTTTGTTTTCTGTTTTAAGTTTATCTTGGAATTTTTGACTGAAGTTGGTGTTACTGCTAACGGCCGATAAGTGGTTGGCGAGATTATTTGCTTTTTGGGCGGGGTTGGTTGAGTTGTCAATGATAGGGGTTTTTGTATGTCGTTTTAAGCCTCTGATGGCGTGGATTTTGCGCCAGACCATTCTGGCATCTGTACGGTTATTTATACCATCGCAGAATTTTTTCCAGTCTCTACTTTTGGCTATTTGGACTAGTTTTTGAACCTGATGGTTTAGTTTGTGGGCTATGTTTAAATATTTGTAGTCGCGTTTTGCTTTAATGAAGGCCAAAGGGTTGTTGTTGTTGCATTAGGTGTTTAAGAGGTCGCCTACTGCCTAGGCAATTTCGGCTGACCTGTCCCTCTTTGGGACTCCTGTGTGTGAGAAGGGTTCACATATCTATTGTGAGTTCGGTGTTCACATAATTTCTGTTTTTGCATTGATATGATTTCTATTTTCTTATATTGATATAATTTCATTTTTATCCTTGGCTGCTCTGTTTATATACGTTCGAGCAGCTGTCCATCTCTCAGAAATAGAGTTAGTTTGGCCTTCGCTATTGCATCTCTTGGCTTTAGTAGATCTATGACAGATAGCGGATCTAACTGCAATTCTTGTTTTAACCTAGCCCGGGCTGGGGCATGGTCTTGACATTCTAGTAACAGGTGGTCAATGGTTTCAGCCTGATTGCAAGATGAACAAACCTTGTCATAGTGCTTTTTGTGACCAAGTCTGAGGCGTGAGATAGCAGTTTCAATTTTCCTTTCATTTGAGTATGAGTTTGGCTTTTGTTGGACCTTGGGTTGAATTTTGTATAGCCATCCGCCGATCTTACTTGCGTCCCATTGGGTTTGCCATCTTTTTGCTATGGAGGCTTTGATTTTGCTTTTTATCTCTAGTTTACTAAAGGGAATAGGCTGTATATCCGCTTTGTCTAGAGCTAGCTTCGCCAGTGAGTCTGCTTTTTCATTTCCATGAATATCTATGTGAGAGGGGATCCAACACAGCTCCACCTGTTGCCCTTGGTCCGATAGTTTTGTATATTCGTATAGAATATTGTTGACTGTGTTTGGCCTGGAGTTTGAGTTTCTTCCACTGATGGCCTGAAGTGCACTTAGCGAGTCTGATAGGACGACTGCCTTTGCTTTCGGGAGTTCCGGTATGAGTTTGAGTGCATGATGAATTGCCTCCAATTCAGCCGTGAATACTGACTGACCATCGGGCAAGCGAACTGAATGTGCTTGGGGTTTGGAGCTGTGGATATGGATCCCGTAACCAGCACTGTTGTTGATAGGATTCTTGGATCCATCAGTGTATATATGGGCCCAGCTGTCCCAGGTAGTTTGAATTTTAGTGATAGCTACTGATCGTAGTAGGGTTGGGTTTTCTCTTTTAGTGACTTCTGATGTTAAAGCAGTGTCAACTTTGGGAGTTTGTAAAGTCCAGGGAGGGTGTAACCCTTTGTAGTGACTTTCTGGAGGCTGAATGTCATCGCAATTGTGACTTCGAATGAGTTCACGTACTAATATCCCAGATGGCTTTAGTGAGGGATTTTTTCGAGCTAGGGCCTCATCTCGAGCGTTTTTGTCTTGCCATATCTTTTTAACCAAAGGGTTTGATGTTCGTCCCCAGAACGATAATATTGCCTGCTCTCGTCTTAGGCCAAAGGGTACTTACTTACTTACTTTGGAGATTTAACGTGCGCTTTCCGACTGATGCGTATTTCGCACACGGAGGCCAAAGGGGCATCTGCATGGTTTTATATAGTTGAGAGGCCGAGGAGCTGGAACTGCGCCTTTACTGTTATTGGTCCAAAGTATGTAACGCCAATTTTGATTGGATAAGAATTTCTGACCTAAGGCTTGTAATGACTGACTGATTTCCCAAGTTTTACTAACCTACTGTTTGACATTAACGATAAGGGGATTACTTTCTAAAAACAATGCATTTGGTGTAATGTTTGCCTTGCGGTAATCCTTTGCCTAAGGGGGATAATTAGAGGTGACGGGTAGGTAGACACTGGCAGTGAATGAGCTTCGCTCACTAGCAGACGTTGACGGGTATAGAATTAAAATAGCAGGTAAGCCTGGATAACGTGTATCAAAGTAATATTAAGTTTATATAAAACATATGGAAAGTAAAATAATTAAAATGAAATAGAAGTAGAATAATAAAGGTAGCTAATTTTAAATGTACAAGAATTTGGATATACAGGTATATAAGACTGAGTTGGGAATTTTTCATTAAGATATAAGCTGTAGTTATGATAATTTGTATTTAAAATAAAGTAAGGAATTTTCAACGAATTGGGACAAATATGTACACGATAACAATGAATATTTTATTATGATATAAGCCGTAGTTTTGATAATTTGTATTTAAAATAAAGTAAGGAATTTTCAACGAATTGGGACAAATATGTACACGATAACACACGGAAACAACTCTCCCCTCTGCTTGTGCGCTGGACTTGGGAACAACAATTGACGTGATTACTTCTATAAACATGAGTAGTATATTCACCGTCAGGTCTTATAACAGCATCTCCGAATGGCTACTCACGCATCCGTGTCCACACACGCCGATTCCAGCAGGTCATGTGACCAAACCCCTCTGTCTCACACCCCCCCCCCCCCCCCCCCCCCCCCACCCCATGTCTCCAAGGACTCAAGGGCGGACACTGGTACCTGAACTTAAAGAAAACATCCTTCCGACAAGATGAGTAAAGTTGAAAATGCCGCTGACACAGAGCCTGACTTTGATGAAGTAATTCATGCAACGGGTTACTTTGGTCGGTACCATGCTCTACAGGGGACGCTCCAGATGTTGATTGGCTTCTCAGTAGCCTTTCCACTGCTCTCCATCGTCTTCACGGGTAATATACCACATGTGTACCGTTATAGTAATTATCTCCATCGTCTTCACGGGTAATGACTTCTCAGTAGCCTTCAGACTACTCTACACCGTCTTCACGGGTAATATACCACATGTGTACCGTTATTGTAATTTATCTCCATCGTCTTCACGGGTAATATACCACATGTGTACCGTTATTGTAATTTATCTCCATCGTCTTCACGGGTAATATACCACATGTGTACCGTTATTGTAATTATCTCCATCGTCTTCACGGGTAATATACCACATGTGTACCGTTATAGTAATTATCTCCATCGTCTTCACGTGTAATATATCACATGTGTACCGTTATAGTAACTCTGCATCGTCTTCACGTGTAATATATCACATGTGTACCGTTATTGTAATTTATCTCCATCGTCTTCTCGGGTAATGGCTTCTCAGTAGTCCCCACTGCTTCCCATTGTCTTCACGTGTAATATACCACATGTGTACCGTTATAGTAACTCTGCATCGTCTTCACGTGTAATATATCACATGTGTACCGTTATAGTAATTATCTCCATCGTCTTCACGGGTAATATACCACATGTGTACCGTTATAGTAATTATCTCCATCGTCTTCACATGTAATATATCACATGTGTACCGTTATAGTTATTATCTCCATCGTCTTCACGTGTAATATATCACATGTGTACCGTTATAGTTATTATCTCCATCGTCTTCACGTGTAATATATCACACGTGTACCGTTATTGTAATCTATCTCCATCGTCTGTGTACCAGTATCGAAATTTATCTCCCATTGTTTTCACAGGTAATGTATCACATGTGTACCGCTATTTAAGAAATTTACGACGCGTGGGAGTAGTTTGTCGTGCAACAAAACACTACAGGGAAAATAAACCATGAGGGTCGCAGCCCCGAGTGGTTTATTCTACCTACATTGTTTTATTGTACGATAAACAACCACTCGGAGTAGTTTATTTCTTATAATATATGAGACATCAACATTATGTACAGCCTAAAGATGTTGATAAAATGTACAAGCTTTAAACATATTTAGCCAAATTTTAATAATGACGACTTCAATCCGACCTCGGCAATGTTGGACAAGTCCATTTTACGAACAGGTTGGTGAGGTTTGGTATTTCCTTCATATTCTCACAATCCTCACCTCGATCATCTGAACTTTTTCTCCTAATACCGATTGTCATACCTCTCCTACTTTTGGATACGATCGTTCGGCCATTGTTTTTATCTGAGTAACCCAACAACTTACTATACACTTCCCTCTAAAACATAACATCGTCCAATATATGACGTCATCAAGTGAGCGCATATTCGAATATCCAGAAATGACGTCATGATAGAATAATGTTTTATCGTGAAATAATCCACGCTTCGTTCTCCATTGTTCTTTGCGATTTATCGCGTAGCTATCATATATTGTAATTTATCTCCATCGTCTTCACGGGTCATATACCACGTGTGAACCGTTATTGTAATCTATCTCCATCGTCTTCACGGGTCATATACCACGTGTGAACCGTTATTGTAATCTATCTCCATCGTCTTCACGGGTAACATACCACGTGTGAACCGTTATTGTAATTTATCTCCATCGTCTTCACGGGTAATATATCACATGTGTACCGTTATTGTTATTTATCGCCAGTCCACACGGGTCATATACCACGTGTGTACCATTATTGTAATTGTCACCATCGTCTTAATGGTAATATGCCCCATATTATGTACCGTGTTTTGAACACATTCCATTGTCTTCACGGGCTATATAATACATTGTGTAGCGTATAACGTATGTTCTCCATCGTCTTCACGGGTAATATACCCTATTCGTACCGTGTACATGTATTGTATACTTTCCACCAATCTCACTATATATAGAGGGTGTTCCATGTGTCTCGTGAAATATCATGTTTCTCTCATCGAGTGACGGGGTGAACGCCACTAGTGAAAATCTCTCTCCCTCTCCCCGCCCCCCCCCCCCCCCCCCCCCCCGTCCCGTCACTCGATGAACTCGGGGGAACATGATATTTCACTAGACACACGGAATATCCTTTTTATTATATACATTTTGTGTAGTTCTTTGAAATGCATTTAGAAGTGATTCACATAAGGAAGAGAATATACGGATGTCAACTTCTTTATTATGAGGAACTCAACGTTTCGGAGTATATGCTTACTCCTTCATCATTTTCACCTGATGAAGGATTAAACATATACTCCGAAACGTTGTGTTCCTCATAATAAAGAAGTTGATATCCATATATTCTTTTTTCTTTTTTTGTGTAGTTGTCTACAGAAAAATTAAATTATTTCATTACAAATGGAAAACCTTGAAACGTAAATTCTCCCTACCTAATACACAGGGACAGTTCACCATCCGTTTTATTTGTGACTAAAAAAGTAGTTTTGGGTTTGCAAAATCCTAAACAAAAGTAACAAAACATATTTAGGGTCACGAAAATTCTGTATCATACACATGAATATGATTTCATACAAAAGCAACTTTAGCAAAAAATATTCTTGAAAACTACGAAAACTGTTAGAAGCGAAATAATACACACTGGTCAAGTACCAAAAGTGGTGCTTTGCGAAAAGAAGTCTGTATTTACGAGTTAAATGAGAAATTTACTGTAACAGTTAATAGCGAAACATTTTCGAGAGAATAACCAACGGCCAGAAGCGACATTAACTCCATAAATGACCATCTGTCATTATTTTGACTTGTCAGTGTGGAACTAGCGTAAAAAAGACGTCAACAGTTTGTATACGGGCTTGACACTTACGATAAAGGGAGACAATTTGAGGGAGGTCACTCTTGTATGCCAATAGTTCCGTCAAAGTGTTATGTTCATAGCAGTGACATATCAACTGTTTTGTTCACTGCAGTGAAATATCAAGTGTTATGTTCACTGCTATGCAAATATCACTTTCCTCAACTTCGGAAAACTCTTTCAGTCTTTCACACTGAAGCATACAATAAAATCAGATTCGAGATACTCCGATTCGATACTTCTCTGCGATAGGATTTGAGGACAACTCCATGCAAGCGTACTGTGTATTTCGTCCCTAAATGAACCACATTTATGTTTGCGTTTCAGTAGCAGACGAAGCTCTTAATTCTTGTTTTTCGTTCTCAACAGTTTCACAACAGGCGGTCAGAATTTGAATATAATTATTATGTTCTTGACTTAAGTAGGATGTGTGTGATCGGTAATGGTTCGCTAAGAAGTGGGGCGAGGAATAATCGCTTGGACTCAATTCGTCCCATTTCAATGGATAGACAGAGACCGCTATGGATACAAAGATGACATTTTGCATGCATCACAGAGGGCTAAATGTATTAATTAAACGAAAATGTATATTTGAGAGAGTTACGGCCCTTGTTTCATGTTTTGGATAGTGTGTACTGTAAAATCGGACACATTTCTCAGAAATATGGTTATAAGGATGACATCCCGCAATTATTTACACATGAACCCCACTAGGGGTAAATATCGGCTGGGATTTGGGCCTTACATATGTAGGTCGCCCATCGGGTTCCAATCGGATTTGTCCAAGGGTTTCAACAGGATCCCATTTGAGCATAATGTTATAGCCCACATGGGACCTTTGAAGGTGTTTATGATTTTTCTCCTTTATGAATATCATATGCGGCCCTCTTGTGACATCACTACCTTATACATTCATATACATATATAAAATTATATTTTTTTTATTGTTTATACGAGTTTAAAAATTAAGATTGAACCAGTTCTATTATTTCTGCGCGGGTCACTTTTTGAATTATTTATAATACGTAACTCTTCTTTCGAGCAAATATTTGATTCCAATTCAACATTACAATAATGAGAAATATTTTATTTTGTCATATCAAAACGGCCATAATTCATACCAACCTTATCATGAACAAGCCAAATGAATACACTTCGCCGTATTTAAAAATAAGATGATTTATTATGAATTTATCAATATATCTTGGTCAAAATAATGTTGAATACACATCCCGTTCTTCACTCTAATAACATAAATATTCACGACAACAATTTCCAGTCAGCAAAAAGAACAGACAACTGCTTTAGTTTCTTCACGCATTTCGACCAATTTTTCTTCGTGTGTGTGTGTGTGTGTGTGTGTGTGTGTGTGTGTGTTTGCCTGCCTGCCTGCCTGCCTGCCTCTACTAGTCCGGACTAATGCCGATTTTATAGTGCTAGTCCATTTAGATACCATGCCGCAGCTTAACATGAATACCCTACTCAGACACAGTATACTGGCTCCGAGCCGACCAGTCCTTGTCTTAGCCGCTTAATGCCGAGCGCCAGGCAGGGTAACAAGTGCCATTTTATAACGTCTTTTGGTATTGCGCGTCCGGGAATCGAATCCCCGACCTTCCGCTCTCCGGGCAGATGGTCTACCACAAGACCACGGAGAAGGGCTTATGAAACCAAGGATATTATGCGCTGCCCCGATTGTCGCAAGTAAATGTTAGAGCTTTGATTACCTAAGTTAATCTCTGGATGTAAATGCGTGCGCGAACGCACGCACACATCAAATTAGTAAATATATAAAATAAATATATTTACGATACATAAACTTTTGTCTAAGATAATTGTCATCATTGTCAAAATAATAGTCTAAGATACCGAAAGTCATGGCGTATTGTTTTAAGGCAAAACATGACATACGAGGACGGTCTGGGTATTAGTTCCCATAACAGTGTTTTAGACCCCTGCGCCTGGGTATCGTTTCTTGAACAAAATACTTTTTGCTTTATTCAGTGGGCGGCGGAAAAATCTAGAAACCGTTACTGGGGAAGAGGTTTGTGCACATCCCTCACCAAAATGAGTCCAAAATGGCAGAAGGTTGTCCGGTAAACTGAATTCACGCCTTGCTTTGGATCACTGTGTCGGTGTGTGGGGCATCTGACTATATTTCGTGACGAAATAACGAAGTAATGGCCACGCAGACTCCAAACAAACGCGATGCCTGATTCACTGGCCCGATTAGACACCGCGACACGTGATCCTGGGGTCCAGCTTAGATGCCTCATAGACTGGAGTAGCTTCCCTTTGATAAAGGGCAATAACTCCAATTGATTATCGGGAAAGATGACCTCTGACATTATGTGTAGGCAATTTTCTTTGTTCTACATGGTAGTTATTAGTTAAGTCACTGCTCAAAACAAGTTTCAGATGGAACCATGTTGTCTGTCGTTATTGTCCGACTGATCCAGCACGGACTTTTTGACGCAATATGTTTATCACACATTCCGAGAAAACTTGCAATTATATGGACCGTATGTGACCGTAGAATTTAGAAATGCCATTATACAAGATAACTTTGATCCAGAGGATCTTCCCGGTGTGAAGAGATTTTGTAGCATCCTTAATGATGCAAGTACCTGTACAGTCATAAAGTGCACATATGTAACCCAGAAGGTGAAACAAATTGTAATTAGCATGTGGCACATTCAGAATCAGGAATGAGAACAAGACACATTTAAGTTTTAATATTTATGAAATATAAAAAAAATTAAAATAGAAACAACCATATCATGAAAACAAACCTAGTAATGTGTTTTTACAACAATGAATTCCTGAAACATTTGTTACTGTTTTCAAGGAACAAAGGGTATTAAATTGACACAATCATAGTCGTATACATGATTAATGTTTAAAGTTTTAACTGAATTGAATGGCATAAATACTCCTTTGTTGGCACATTATATATAAGCAGCATATTCTGCACTGTCTAGACGTGTACGAACAATTATGGCAGTGACCCAATGGCTGGACAGAATGGCATAAAATTGTCTTGTATATCTAGTGGTAAAGTAATAGGTAATTGTAATATTATTTAATAATTAACTAGATCAGTGGAGACATGCAGATAGTGTAAAATTTAAACCAACAACATTGTGATTGCGTACTGTTTATAACCAGTATTTTGTGTTTTGGGATTCGATGTGTAACTGTGTCCTTGCAGTAGGTAGTGAGTGAGTGAGTGAGTTTGGTTTAACGCCACTTTTAACATTATTTCAGTTATATCGCGGCGTGTCAGCTTAATGTGGGAGGAAGCCCGATGTGATGCAGGTCTCAGACGTTTACCACTTCGGTGAAACCCACGAGCACGGGTATGGTGCTGACAAACCTAGAAACATAATCGGGGCGAACCGGGATTCGAACCCACAATCATAGGTTTCTGGCGTGCTCAAGGGACGCAACTCTGTACAGCGAATCGCGGCGCCTAAGACGGCTGGGCCACCCGTGCCCCCACACTTCTTTATGAGTTACCTCCCTAATGGTTAGCGTACTGTATGTGTACTCCCGTAGCATGACACGTCAATTATTCACGCCGTACAACAGTGCACACACCACTATACACGGATACTGGATGAACGTTTCCCGCCTGTTCCTGTGACAGAGCTTGTCTCCCTAAGATCACTAAAGCGTGCATGTTTAGTGTAATAATTTACCGTTAGTAATGTTTAAAAATATTTTCATCATAATTTATGTATTTCGTATGTACACATATCATTATACATGTGCGAGATAAAGATAAAGTTTCTTTTTAAAGTTTGTTTACATCTGTCCAACTATTACTCATCCCCTTGTAACCAATGTAACCATGTAACAAAAAACAAATAAGCACGGAACATGGCGCGGAGTATGGCGCCGGGCAATGATAAAGTGAGTGAGTGAGTGAGTGAGTTGGGTTTAACGCCGCTTTTAACAATATTCCACTAATAGCACGGCGTGTCAGCTTAATGTGGGAGGAAAGCCCGAAGTGATGCAGGCCTCAGACGTTTAACACTTCGGTGAAACCCAAGAGCACGGGTATGGTGCTGACAAACCTAGAAACAAAATTGGGGAGAACCGGGACTCGAACCCACAATCATAGGTTTCTGGCGTTCCCAAGGGACGCAACTCTGCACAGCGAATCGCGGCGCCTAAGACGACTGGGCCACCCATGCCCCCTGCAATGACAAAGAGGTAATAACACTTTAAAGTGTGGGAGGAAACTTGTGATGATAAGTATCAGGTATTAGGAATATACACAATATATGTATTCAGCTCACCAAGTCTTACTTATGACAATGCGTATTCAAATTACAATACGCTTATACATAACATCAAATAAACATTCATAATACACGGTACCTGCCACCCGAAAACACACTCGCGTGATAACCTAAATACATTATGGGTAATATCTGTCGTGACCCGTTTGGAACCCAGTTGGCAAACCTTTGACGAGTTGGCCAACTCTAAACTCAAGCGGGGCCCATGTGACGATGCTGCATACACCATCAAGGGATTTGTATGTTGATTGTGACAACCATCATCGAAGAGTAATTTGTGACAGAGTTATGATCCTTGTTTATTCTTTGGACATGATGCACCCACCCTCCACTGCCCCTCTCCCCGTTTTCTTTCCTCTGAACGCACTATGGATACGTGGATGTAATTTTGCATACATTATGATCGATCGAGATACATGCAAGTAAAAGCTTGCTCTTGATTAGTTCAATAAAAAAACATTTTAATACAGTAAACTACGGATTTAACGAACACGCTTATAACGAACTGACCGATATAACGAACTTATTTTGTCCCGTCCATGTGTTGTATATATGCTGTATAGATGCTTATAACGAACTACAGTTATAACGAACTAAAATTAGTGGTCCCTTTGAGTTCGTTATAACCGTAGTTTACTGTAATTATATAGTCCATTCATGATCCAGTTAAAGGAATACTCCCCTTTTTTCTAGCTATTTTCTAGGCTGTGCTTTCCATTGTTTATACATAATACCAAACTTGCGATTCCATTCATAGTTTGTTTATCTTTTCAGGCTATGAAGTTCCCCACAAATGCAAAGAACTCGGCAATATTACAAGCGATCATCTGCAGCATGTTGTAATTAACAATTCAACGAGCCTTGAATATGGAGAATGTCAAATAGAGGTTGAAAACAACATTTCTGGTGTCGTGAAAAAGGATTATCTCCCTTGCGTGGCGGGACATAATTACAGTCAGCCCACATATGTGTCATTCGTTGCGGAGGTAAACGTACCACTTTTTGTCCCAGCATGTTTTTAATCACGCTGCTATTTATACCATATAGTCCACTAGTTCAATGATATGCCACACCGATGTTGAAGTATTTGTCAGTTCTGGTTCAAAAATACTCTTTTGATGAAAATGGTCATACTTGTGAGCAGAATGTGTTGGACTGAATGAGATCGGTGTCGAACACATTCGGCGAGTCGGTGTTTAGCATATCCCATCCGTAGATGTCCATCCTACTCAACCAGTAGGTGTCCAGCATATTACATCAGTAGGTCGGTTAACTCCCTTGCCTCGGGAAGATGGTTACAGTAGAGTGTGAAGGTGATTGTTTGGTTGCAGTGGGACTTGGTGTGCGAACTGGCTGGGCTTGGCGAGCTGTCTCAGACAGTTATGATGCTTGGTCAAGGCTTTGGAGGACTCATCTTCAGCATACTGGCAGACAAGTATGGCAGGAAGCCCGTCTACATCGCCACTCTGTTCGGACTCTCTGCACTCTGCTTTGGAATGGCGTTCTCCAATGGCATCCTCGTGTACATCATCATACGATTCCTCATTGGGGGTTTTCAACAGGTGGGTTTTACTCTTAATTTCGGGAGCATTCATTCATACTGGGAATTTATGTCAATTCACTGGGTATGTCTTTGGGTGTTATTAACACTTGCGGTTCAGTCAAGGTTGAACGTCTCACATTACAGGGCAAGGAGACAAGTGGTTCACCAATGATCTCTGTTTCAGGGGTCAGGCCTAACAGCGTATACCATATTTGTGGAGATGTTGACCACTGAACACCGCCCTCTAGCGGGGACAGTTGGGGGTGTAGTGTGGTCTCTCTCCGTCATGACGTTGGCCCCAATTGCATACTTGATGAAGGATTTCAGCTGGCGATATCTGCAGATCGCCCTCAGCGTTGTCACTCTCTATGTCTTCGCCCTCTACTGGTAGGTGCAAACATTCATCACCTCCACCGTGCCTCTCTCTTTGTATTCTTCTACCACAAATAGGTGCAAACATCACCTCTAATGGGCCTCTCTCCATGTCTCCACCCTCTACTGGTAGGTGCAAACATTTATCACCTCCACCTTGCCTCTCTCTATGTCTCTATCCTCTATTGGAAGGTGCAAACATTTATTACCTCCACCGTGCCTCTCTCTATGTCTCCATCCTCTACTGGTAGGTGCAAACATCACTTCCACTGTGCCTCCTTAATGTCTCCATCCTCTACTGATAGGTGCAAACATTTATTAACTCCACTGTGCCTCTCTCTATGTCCCCACCCTCTACTGATAGGTGCAAACATTTATTACCTCCACCGTGCCTCTCTCTATGTCTCCATCCTCTACTGGTAGGTGCAAACATCACTTCCACTGTGCCTCCTTAATGTCTCCATCCTCTACTGATAGGTGCAAACATTTATTACCTCCACTGTGCCTCTCTCTATGTCTCCATCCTCTTCATGGTAGGTGAAAACTTCGTCACCTCAACTGTGCCCCTCTATGTCTCCATCCTCTACTAGTGGGTTCAAACATTTATCACCTCCACCGTGCCTCTCCCTATGTCTCCATCCTCTACTGATATGTGCAAACATGTATCACCTCCACCGTGCCTCTCCCTATGTCTCCATCCTTTACTGGTAGGTGCAAACATTTATCACCTCCACCGTGCCTCTCCCTATGTCTCCATCCTTTACTGGTAGGTGCAAACATCAGTCACCTCCACCGTGCCTCTCTCTATGTCTCGATCTTCTCCTGTAGGTGCAAACATTTATCACCTCCACTGTGCCTCTCTCTATGTCTCCATCGTCTACTGGTAGGTGCAAACATTTATCACCTCCACTGTGCCTCTCTCTATGTCTCCATCGACTACTGGTAGGTGCAAACATTTATCACCTCCACTGTGCCTTTCTATATCTCTTCTGGTAGGTGCACACATTCATCCCCCCTACTGTGCCTCTGTCTATATGACCATTATTATCTGATAGGTGCAAACATCCGTCGCCTCCACTGAGCCTCTCTCTATGTCTTTATCCTCTACTGGAAGGTGCACACATCCGTCACCCATACCGCGCCTCTCTCTGTGTCTTCATCTGTCTAAAATGAATTTCAGTTGGAACTATATTGACTGACTAATCAACAACCTACTGACGTAATATATCGAGACACGTTCCTGGAAAAATTGCAATGTTTAGTTATCGTTTGTAACAGATAAGAATACATTTACGGATGACATTATATGAGCCCAGAGGTTGTCTCGCTGTTGTGTATTAGGATAATAAAAGATGACTCAATACTACTGTATGTTTATTCCAAATACAGTTACTTTGATTCCAAAAAACACGCGCCCGATGACCTCTATTCATTAGTATCATACTATACTGTATTCGTAACATTTGACTGTTATTGCATATTGGTGACCGTTTATTTCAATTTATGTAGTTTTGATCGAATGACCGCCCATAAAACAGCCCTGTTTTCTTTGTCTGGACGCTGAGGTAGAACACCTGTCTTTTGCAGCACACTAGACGAATCACTGAGGTGGTTACTTGCTAACAACAGAAGAGACGAGTGTAGGAGGATTATACGGAAATCTACGTCCATGAACGCATCGAACGTAAAAAAGGCCCTCGATGTGTTTGAGAGAACTTCCGGAACTGTCTGCAAGGCAGTGGTAGTCGAACCATCAAACACTGTCGATAAAGTGACGGATGGGGACAGTTCCTTGTTGGTGAATGATGTAAAGGTTGATGGCGAGACTGAGGGTCTGGTCGACAGCAGTCAAAAATACACAATTCTGGACCTGTTCCGTCACAAAGCCATCCTGTATACGTCGGCTATCACCTGGTACATCTGGTAAGATTTGACGGAATAATATCTTTCAATAATCTATTGTTTTTTTGTTGTTGTTGTGTAACGGCACACTCAGCAATATTCCAGATACATGAAGGATGTCTGTAAATAATCGAGTCTGGACCAGACAATCCAGTGATTGATACCATGAGCATCGACCCACCCAATTGGGATCGATGACATGCATCAACCAAGTCAGCGAGCCTGACCACCCGATCCCGTTAGTCGCCTCTTACGACAATCATAGTCGCCTTTTACGGCAAGCATGGGTTGCTAAAGACATATTCTACCCCGGAATCTTCACGGGTCGGGATATATTGGACACGTACTGATGGAATAGGTTGGACACGTACTGATGGAATAGGTTGGACACCTCCTGATGGAATAGGTTGGACACCTACTGCATGCATGGATTGTTGAAGAACTATTCTAACCCGGATCTTCACGGGTCCAATAATCTATGTAGAAAACGTCAGTCTGGAGGGACTCTAATTGACTTAGTCTATAATTTGTATATATTGTTAACATCAGTGTTACAAAGTGTATTGACTGTAAACATAGGTGACAAGATATGTATCGACTATCAACATAGTTGACACACATATTGTGACATATGTTGAGGATAGATACACGTCACAACAACGATGTTGAGAATAGATACACGTCACAACAACGATGTTGAGGATAGATACACGTCATAACAACGATGTTGAGAATAGATACACGTCATAACAACGATGTTGAGGATAGATACACGTCATAACAACGATGTTGAGAATAGATACTAGATAGTATTACACATCATAACAACTATCCCCATTGTTGCTATAATGTGTATCTATTCTCAACATAGGTTTTATGACGTGTGTCGTCGACTATCAACATGGTCGTTAAGATGTGTATGTATTCTCACCAGGGTGGTGGGGTAGCCTAGTGGTTAAGGTGTTCGCTCATCCCGCCGAAGTCCCGGGTTCGATTTCCCTCGTGGGTATAATGTTTTCTGGTGTCGCCCGCCGTGATATTTCTGGAATATTATTAAAAGTCCTACTTACTCTATTCTCAACATAGGTGTTATAATGTGTGTCGACTATCAACAAAAGTGTTTTACACAAACGTTTTCTAAATTGTCTAAACTCTGAACATGTTTATTATGTTCAGATTATTTTCTTGCAGTTTTGCCTTTTTCCTTGTATAGTTGCCGTGCGATGATGTAGGCAAATAAATATATTACAATAGGACAGCATCGACAATAATGGCTTCCGAATTAAAACATGGCAGTTCAAACAAGTACCACTCTACAATCTATGACTTTTGCATACTCATGTAGCATGCAAATATTTCGACTGGAAGATATTATTGAAATACGATTATGTGTTTGATTTCAAATGCTACCACTCAACGATTATGTGTTTGATTTCAAATGCTACCACTCAAAGATTATGTGTTTATATTTCAAATGCTATCACTCAACGATTATGTGTTTGATTGGAAATGCTATCACTCAACGATTATGTGTTTGATTGGAAATGCCATCACTTAACGATTATGTGTTTGATTTCAAATGCCATCACTTAACGATTATGTTTTTGAATGGAAATGCTATCACTCAACGATTATGTGTTTGATTTCAAATGCCATCACTTAACGATTATGTGTTTGATTTCAAATGCCATCACTTAACGATTATGTGTTTGATTGGAAATGCTATCACTCAACGATAATGTGTTTGATTGGAAATGCCATCACTTAACGATTATGTGTTTGATTTCAAATGCCAACACTTAACGATTATGTGTTTGATTGGAAATGCTATCACTCAACGATTATGTGTTTGATTTCAAGTGCCATCACTCAACGATTATGTGTTTGTTTTCAAATGCCATCACTCAACGATTATGTGTTTGATTTCAAATGCCATCACTCAATGATAAATCTTTCTTCCTGACATGCGTTATTTCCCTGTGCTGTAACGGGAGTTCCTCAAGGTTCCTCTTAACTTAAATTCTGTTCAAAGCTCACTCACTGGCTCAAGGCTTTTCATAATTTGGCACAGCGATTGATACAACGGTAGATCTGCTATAAACATTGTTACATACTTCCGCGAAAGGGAGGTAACTGTGTATTGCCACCATTAAATATTCCCCCACCATCTTTTCGTAAACAAGTTCAAAACACGTTAGATTAAGAACTCGTTAAGATTAAACATGCCTTTGCCTGTGTTTGTGACTGGAGCAATCTTTTCGAGAACTCCTAGTATCATCACTATGCCATATTGATTAATAAACACTTGACAAAGTCGGAATCGTACATTGAACTCTGCTTTTAGCAGATATTTCTTATGAATATGGAAATAACATGTCAAACCTTTGTTCAGTTTAGAATTTCAAACACACACGTTTTGAGTGAATAAGTTTAGCTTTTGTTTACTAGCTATACACTGTCTGTGTTTACTAGCTGTGTAGGTGTTTCAAAACATATTACTGCTGAATGTTAAAATATGTACTGCTATGACATCATACTATGTCGTCACTGTCGCCTCTGTCGTTCACGTTGTAGGACAGTAAACAGTCTGACGTACTACGGGTTGTTCCTGACGGCCACGTCACTGGCAGGAGACCGGTTCCTCAACTTCTTCCTGTCATGCGTGGTGGAGATTCCTGGCACAGTCTCCGTCTACTTCATGCTCAAACGGTAGTCCCAACACTGATGTATTACTAGACAAAGCCTGTAGGCACAACATAGATGTATTACTAGAAAACCCTGTAGGCACAACATAGATGTATTACTAGACAAGTGAGTGAGCGAGTTTATGCTTTACGTTACATCGGCAGTATTACAGCCATATCGTGACGATATTACTAGACAAACCCTGTAGGCACAACATAGATGTATTACTAGCCATACCATGTAGATACAACATAGATGTATTACCAGACAAACCATGTAGGCACACCATAGATGTATTACTAGATAAACCCTGTAGGCACAACATAGATGTATTAATAAACAACCCTGCAGGCACAACATAGATGTATTACTAGTAGACAAACCCTGCAGACACAACATTGATGTATTACTAGACAAACCCTGTATGCACAACACAGATGTATTACTAGACAAACCCTGTATGCACAACATAGATGTATTAATAGACAACCCTGCAGGCACAACATAGATGTATTACTAGTAGACAAACCCTGCAGACACAACATTGATGTATTACTAGACAAACCCTGTATGCACAACATAGATGTATTACAAGACAAACCCTGTATGCACAACATAGATGTATTACAAGACAAACCCGGTAGGCACAACCTAGATGTATTACTAGACAAACCCTGTAGGCACAACCTAGATGTTTTACTAGACAAACCCTATAGGCAAAACCTAGATGTATTACTAGACAAACCCTGTAGGCACAACATAGATGTATTACTAGACAAACCCTGTAGGCACAACCTAGATGTATTACTAGAGAAACCCTGTAGGCACAACATAGATGTATTACCGTCAACTGTTCATGTTCAGATTTGGGCGACGTCAGGTTGCGATGATCTATCATTTCATGGCGGGTGCCTCTCTCATCCTTTCTGTGATCATCCTAACCACTGCAGGTACAATATCTTTGATTACTTTTAAAAATCAAAGACATTAAACTTTCATTATTGGTCAAATGCACATTTATTATCAAACCATGAAAAGGAACATACACACTTGTAGGGCTGGGACGGGTTACTCGGTTACACGGGTCGGGAGGGTACTACTGAGTAGGACCCGGGTACCCACGGGACTACCAAGACCCGTGATAAGTCACGTGATATATTGTTTAGTGACAAAAGCTATCTAGAACTCTATGGTTACACTACAAGTCACTAATGTTCGCATTTCTTTCTGACTATGCACCTATTCCTTCTGATTTTTCATATGGTTGAAAAAAGATATAACTTCATCCAACTTCAGTGTATGAATGACCAGATTGTTTAACACATGTATCTGAATACGTTTTGCCTGGGCTATGCTAAACATGTTCCCAACTGGACATTTTGAGACATCTCCTGAAACCTACAGTGGGTACCCGGGTAGGGTCGAGTAATAGGGGGTGGGTACCCGGGTGGTAAATTTGGACTGGTCCCAGCCATACACACTTGATCTTGCATCCCAGGTGACACCCGGGCTGGGAGCTCAGTGGCCACGGCACTCAACATGTTCGGGAAGTTCTCCATCACTGGCTCCTTCAACGCTCTCTTCATCTACAGCCCCGAGCTGTTTCCAACGAACCTCAGGTGGACTCACTGCATCAATGGTGGATCTGAAGGAAGGGATCACACATGAGCCCAAATTACGTGTCGAGATCTTCCAATTGAAAGAAACCGTACACATCTTCAAGGCTCTTTTGGCTCTAACACGTTGATGATTTATGTTTTAATGAACATGTAACATGGTAATGATAATCTTAGGGTTGAGGATAATGAACGTCATTCCCATCTGTATTAGGATTAAGATAAGCCGTTTTCTCTCACCAGTCATGTGTCAGATCACGGCTTTGCGTATGTGATATACATTGGAAATTGGTTTTAATCAGGGCAATAAACTAATAATCGCAGTTGCATGTATACCATACTGAAATATGTAGAACGTGTGATATGGTTTCAGGACGGCCGGTCTGGGAATGGGGTCGGCGATGTCGCGAATTGGTGGGATGACGGCGCCGTACTCAGATCGACTGGTGAGGCATAGCTACCATTCTGAATGCTTGTCCACTTGAAAAAAACCTATCTAACAGCCAGTGTGGACGCCCCGAAGTCCCCAAAGAGAAGCACACTGTTCTCTGTAAATAAATGAGTGATCGCGTGGAGCGCCCAGATACAACGCTGAGGAGGTGAAAAACGGCACGGCCTCACGTGCAGGGCGCCTCTGTGTTGGAGTTGGGCACAGCGGGCAGGCCCGTGTTATTTATTGCTTTAATACGACATACTGCCATCCACGCCTGTTATATAGTGAATGTATTCGATATACTGCCATGCACGCGTGTTATATAGTGAGTGTATTCGACATACTGCCATGCACGCGTGTTATTTATTGCGTTAATACGACATACTGCCATCCACGCGTGTTATATAGTGAATGTATTCGATATACTGCCATGCACGCGTGTTATATAGTGAGTGTATTCGACATACTGCCATGCACGCGTGTTATTTATTGCGTTAATACGACATACTGCCATCCACGCGTGTTATATAGTGAGTGTATTCGACATACTACCATTCACACGAGTTATATAGTGAGTGTATTCGACATACTGCCATGCACGCGTATTATATAGTGAGTGTATTCAACAAACTGACATACACGTGTTATTTAGTGAGTGTATTTGACATACTGCCATGCATGCGTGTTATAGAGTGCATGTATTCGACATACTGCCATACACGTGTTAAAGAGTGAATGTATTCGACAAACTGACATACACGTGTTATATAGTGAGTGTATTCTCTAACTGACATACACGTGTTATTTAGTGAGTGTATTCGACATACTGCCATGCATGCGTGTTATAGAGTGAGTGTATTCGACAAACTGACATACACGTGTCATAGAGTGAATGTATTCGACAAACTGACATACACGTGTTATAGAGTGAATGTATTCGACAAACTGACATACACGTGTTATTTAGTGAGTGTATTCGACAAACTGACATACACGTGTTATTTAGTGAGTGTATTCGACATACTGCCATGCATGCGTGTTATAGAGTGAATGTATTCGACAAACTGACATACACGTGTTATAGAGTGAATGTATTCTACAAACTGACATACACGTGTTATTTAGTGAGTATATAAGACATACGGCTATACACGTGTTGCATAGACTGATAGACACATACTCTTCAATGCGTTTGTTTGACACACAGACAGACACGTCTTACAATCATTTCGTAAAACGGACACATTATGTGTATTGCCCCCGTTTCCACAGGCAGACAGATAACACTTGTGTCACAGATAACACTTGTTTCGCAGCATTATAGACACCCATTTTGTTTAACAGGCTGACAAGGTGATATGGGGGCCAGGGGCTCTTTTCGGGACACTCTGCCTCATCGCTACCTTCCTCATACGATACCTCCCAGAGACGAAGGGGAGAGAACTCCCCACGACAATAGAGGAAATCAATGAGATGTACACGAGGAAACGGAAACCAAAGATGGAAGACGGCACGCAGGATGACGGTTGACCTTCACATTCAATCATTCACTGAAAAACGATTCTGGTGTATATTTACGTCTCTATGTCATAATACCAGAAATATAATAAAAGGCTTTGTTCGTTTTTGTAAGGAATGCAGGACATTGTTTTTCACGTATGTATTAACGTTACTCCTATCAGCGTGGTAGAATCACAAGACAACTTTCCTGCCTATACTGTAGCATCGGCCGTCCTCGTTTCAGTGTTTCTTGACCAAAACTATGCCAGACACATTAGTATAGTTAAGGAATAGTTCATCCTGAAGGATATTCTTTAAAAAAGTAGGGTAAACTTGGAAATAACTAAAAAATCCAAAATAATAAGATATATTGGTTTCTTGTGATAGTTGTAATAACGAACGAATTGGGAACACATTACAACCGGTAGTGTAGCATGGTAGTAGCTGCTGTGTCCGCCAACTACCTTGAAGGACGATAGAGGTCAGATGGGAAATTTACAAGTTGACGTTTTTGAATACCGCCACGATTTGGCTAAGATTCATTCACTCGACGAGGCATACTGGGTATGTGTCTCGCAATGGCGACTTAAGGGAGTCTGTTCCACTCCTCTTGCAGCGCCTGGTCAACTTCAACCAACGTGGTCGGCGGCCGTTGACGCTGACGCAGATGTTTTCCTATCATGCCCAAGATGTGTTTAATGGGGAAAAAAAAAAATCTTGGCGCATTGCTGGCCACAGCATTCACGGGCTTTGTCGTTCTGAAAGACAAAAGTCCACCTACACGCCTTGCAAACGGGACAGCAAAGGAAGTCAAAATCTTGTCCCGATGGTACTGTCCTGTGACCTTTCCTTGCACAATATGGAGTGGGGTTCGCTCAGTCATAGTGATGCCACCCACCATAATCTACCCACCGCCAAATCCACCGAGATGTCTCAGGTTGACATTGGCCTGACGTTCATTTCGACGTCGCCAGACACGACCACGCCTTTCAAGGAAGTGCAAAGTGAATCGGGGCTCATCTGAAAACATGACACGTGACCAGCGACGATTACCCCAGTTTCGACGTTGTTAACACCATGCATGGACCTCTGTTGGCAACATGACGATTTGTAAGGCACGGCACAATCACAGACTGTGTAACCTTGAACGTATTGGCCAGTGCACGCTGACTTCTGCCAGTTTCCAGCAGGCAAAAAGCCGCGTGTTGTAGACGCCACATACACAAACAATGAATGAAATCAAGTAAATCTTAACTGTATGATAAGCAGAATCATAACATTGTTTTTTGCTGAAAAGTAAACATCTCACACACATAGACTGGCCCTCGGCGGACACGAAAAACTGGCCCTTAACGGATTAGCGATCTAACACACAAAAAACTGGCCCTTAACGGATTAGCGATCTAACACACCAAAAACTGGCCCTCAAGAGATTAACCATCCCTCGCACACAAAGACTGGCCTTAAACGGATTAAACATCTCACACACATAGACTGGCCCTCGACGGATTAACGATCTCACACACAAAAAAACTGGCCCTTAACGGATTAGTCATCTCACACACACAAACTGGCTCTCAAGAGACTAACCATCTCACACACAAAGACTGGCCTTCAACGGATAAACCATCCCTCACACACAAAGACCGGCCTTCAACGGATTAACCATCTCACACACAAATACTGGCCTTGAATGGATTAACTATCTCACATACAAAAACTGGCCCTTAACGGATTAGCCATCTCACACACACAAACTGGCCCTCAAGAGATTAACCATCCCACACACAAAGACTGGCCTTCAACGAATAAACCATCCCTCACACACAAAGACCGGCCTTCAACGGATTAAACATCTCACACACAAAAACTGGCCCTTAAGGGATTAGCCATCTCACACGCACAAACTGGACCTCAAGAGATTAACCATCTCACAAACAAAGACTGGCCTTCAATGGATTAACCATCTCACACACAAAGACACACGGAGATGAAGCATTCGGTATAGTGGCAGTAGTTGGTGTTGTAGAGGCAGTAGTCGGTGTTGTAGAGGCAGTAGTCGCTGTTGTAGATGCGGTAGTTGGTGTTGTAGAGGTAGTAGCCGGTGTTGTAGAGGCAGTAGTCGGTGTTGTAGAGGCAGTAGTCGGTGTTGAAAAGGCAGTAGTCAGTCATGTAGAGGTAGTAGTTGGTGTTGTAGAGGCAGTCGTCGGTCTTGTAGAGGCAGTAGTCAGTCATGTAGAGGCAGTAGTCGGTGTTGTAGAGGCAGTAGTCAGTCATGTAGAGGTAGTAGTCGGTGTTGTAGAGGCAGTAGTCGGTCTTGTAGAGGCAGTAGTCGGTTTTGTAGAGGCAGTAGTCGGTGTTGAAAAGGCAGTAGTCGTTGTTGAAAAGGCAGTAGTCAGTCTTGTAGAGGCAGTAGTCGGTATTGTAGAGGCAGTAGTCGGTGTTGTAGAGGCAGGAGTCGGTGTTGTAGAGGCAGTAGTCGGTTTTGTAGAGGCAGTAGATGGTGCTGAAGAGGCAGTACTCGGCCATTTGGAGGCAGTAGTCGGCCATGTGGAGGCAGTAGTCAGTCATGTAGAGGTAGTAGTCGGTGTTGTAGAGGCAGTAGTCGGTCTTGTAGAGGCAGTATTCGGTTTTGTAGAGGCAGTATTCGGTGTTGAAAAGGCAGTAGTCGTTGTTGAAAAGGCAGTAGTCAGTCTTGTAGAGGCAGTAGTCGGTATTGTAGAGGCAGTAGTCGGTGTTGTAGAGGCAGTAGTCAGTGTTGTAGAGGCAGTAGTCGGTTTTGTAGAGGCAGTAGTTGGTGCTGAAGAGGCAGTACTCGGCCATTTGGAGGCAGTAGTCGGCCATGTGGAGGCAGTAGTCAGTCATGTAGAGGTAGTAGTCGGTGTTGTAGAGGCAGTAGTCTGTCTTGTAGAGGCAGTAGTCGGTTTTGTAGAGGCAGTAGTCGGTGTTGAAAAGGCAGTAGTCGTTGTTGAAAAGGCAGTAGTCGGTGTTGTAGAGGCAGTAGTCGGTGTTGTAGAGGTAGTAGTCAGTCATGTAGAGGCAGTAATCGGTGTTGTAGAGGCAGTAGTCGGTATTGTAGAGGCAGTAGTCGGTGTTGTAGAGGCAGTAGTCGGTGTTGTAGAGGCAGTAGTCGGTTTTGTAGAGGCAGTAGTTGGTGCTGAAGAGGCAGTACTCGGCCATTTGGAGGCAGTAGTCGGCCATGTGGAGGCAGTAGTCAGTCATGTAGAGGTAGAAGTCGGTGTTGTAGAGGCAGTAGTCTGTCTTGTAGAGGCAGTATTCGGTTTTGTAGAGGCAGTAGTCGGTGTTGAAAAGGCAGTAGTCGTTGTTGAAAAGGCAGTAGTCAGTCTTGTAGAGGCAGTAGTCGGTATTGTAGAGGCAGTAGTCGGTGTTGTAGAGGCAGTAGTCGGTGTTGTAGAGGTAGTAGTCGGTTTTGTAGAGGCAGTAGTTGGTGCTGAAGAGGCAGTACTCGGCCATTTGGAGGCAGTAGTCGGCCATGTGGAGGCAGTAGTCAGTCATGTAGAGGTAGTAGTCGGTGTTGTAGAGGCAGTAGTCGGTCTTGTAGAGGCAGTAGTCGGTTTTGTAGAGGCAGTAGTCGTTGTTGAAAAGGCAGTAGTCGTTGTTGAAAAGGCAGTAGTCGGTGTTGTAGAGGCAGTAGTCGGTGTTGTAGAGGTAGTAGTCAGTCATGTAGAGGCAGTAATCGGTGTTGTAGAGGCAGTAATCGGTGTTGTAGAGGCAGTAGTCGGTGTTGTAGAGGCAGTAATCGGTGTTGTAGAGGCAGTAATCGCTGTTGTAGAGGCGGTAGTTAGTGTTGTAGAGGTAGTAGTCGGTGTTGTAGAGGCAGTAGTCGGTGTTGTAGAGGCGGTAGTAAGTGTTGTAGAGGTAGTAGTCAGTCGTGTAGAGGCAGTAGTTGGTGTTGTAGAGGCAGTAGTCGGTGTTGTAGAGGCAGTAATCGGTGTTGTAGAGGCAGTAATCGGTGTTGTAGAGGCAGTAGTCAGTCATGTAGAGGCAGTAGTCGGTGTTGTAGAGGCAGTAATCGGTGTTGTAGAGGCAGTAATCGGTGTTGTAGAGGCAGTAGTCGGTTTTGTAGAGGCAGTAGTTGGTGCTGAAGAGGCAGTACTCGGCCATTTGGAGGCAGTAGTCGGCCATGTGGAGGCAGTAGTCAGTCATGTAGAGGTAGTAGTCGGTGTTGTAGAGGCAGTAGTCGGTCTTGTAGAGGCAGTATTCGGTTTTGTAGAGGCAGTAGTCGGTGTTGAAAAGGCAGTAGTCGTTGTTGAAAAGGCAGTAGTCAGTCTTGTAGAGGCAGTAGTCGGTATTGTAGAGGCAGTAGTCGGTGTTGTAGAGGCAGTAGTCAGTGTTGTAGAGGCAGTAGTCGGTTTTGTAGAGGCAGTAGTTGGTGCTGAAGAGGCAGTACTCGGCCATTTGGAGGCAGTAGTCGGCCATGTGGAGGCAGTAGTCAGTCATGTAGAGGTAGTAGTCGGTGTTGTAGAGGCAGTAGTCTGTCTTGTAGAGGCAGTAGTCGGTTTTGTAGAGGCAGTAGTCGGTGTTGAAAAGGCAGTAGTCGTTGTTGAAAAGGCAGTAGTCGGTGTTGTAGAGGCAGTAGTCGGTGTTGTAGAGGTAGTAGTCAGTCATGTAGAGGCAGTAATCGGTGTTGTAGAGGCAGTAGTCGGTATTGTAGAGGCAGTAGTCGGTGTTGTAGAGGCAGTAGTCGGTGTTGTAGAGGCAGTAGTCGGTTTTGTAGAGGCAGTAATTGGTGCTGAAGAGGCAGTACTCGGCCATTTGGAGGCAGTAGTCGGCCATGTGGAGGCAGTAGTCAGTCATGTAGAGGTAGTAGTCGGTCTTGTAGAGGCAGTAGTCAGTCATGTAGAGGCAGTAGTCGGTGTTGTAGAGGCAGTAGTCAGTCATGTAGAGGTAGTAGTCGGTGTTGTAGAGGCAGTAGTCGGTCTTGTAGAGGCAGTAGTCGGTTTTGTAGAGGCAGTAGTCGGTGTTGAAAAGGCAGTAGTCGTTGTTGAAAAGGCAGTAGTCAGTCTTGTAGAGGCAGTAGTCGGTATTGTAGAGGCAGTAGTCGGTGTTGTAGAGGCAGTAGTCGGTGTTGTAGAGGCAGTAGTCGGTTTTGTAGAGGCAGTAGTTGGTGCTGAAGAGGCAGTACTCGGCCATTTGGAGGCAGTAGTCGGCCATGTGGAGGCAGTAGTCAGTCATGTAGAGGTAGTAGTCGGTGTTGTAGAGGCAGTAGTCGGTCTTGTAGAGGCAATATTCGGTTTTGTAGAGGCAGTAGTCGGTGTTGAAAAGGCAGTAGTCGTTGTTGAAAAGGCAGTAGTCAGTCTTGTAGAGGCAGTAGTCGGTATTGTAGAGGCAGTAGTCGGTGTTGTAGAGGCAGTAGTCAGTGTTGTAGAGGCAGTAGTCGGTTTTGTAGAGGCAGTAGTTGGTGCTGAAGAGGCAGTACTCGGCCATTTGGAGGCAGTAGTCGGCCATGTGGAGGCAGTAGTCAGTCATGTAGAGGTAGTAGTCGGTGTTGTAGAGGCAGTAGTCTGTCTTGTAGAGGCAGTAGTCGGTGTTGTAGAGGCAGTAATCGGTGTTGTAGAGGCAGTAGTCGGTGTTGTAGAGGCAGTAATCGGTGTTGTAGAGGCGGTAGTTAGTGTTGTAGAGGTAGTAGCCGGTGTTGTAGAGGCAGTAGTCGGTGTTGTAGAGGCAGTAATCGGTGTTGTAGAGGCAGTAGTCGGTGTTGTAGAGGCAGTAATCGCTGTTGTAGAGGCGGTTGTTAGTGTTGTAGAGGTAGTAGTCAGTCATGTAGAGGTAGTAGTAATTGTTGTAGAGGCACTAATCGGTGTTGTAGAGACAGTAGTCGTTTTTTTAGAGACAGTAATCGGTGTTGTAAAGGGCGGTAGTTAGTGTTGTAGAGACAGTAGTAGGTGTTTTAAAGGCAGTAGTCGGTGTTGTGGCAATCTCATTAAAATCAGATTTTAGTTCTCGCTGCCGCTAAACAAATATCTGATAACACCCCATTACGGTTTACGTCATACCGACCTTGCGCGAAGTTTGACCGACCAATACAATGACTGACAAGAAGTCAACATTAGCCAGTCAGAAGGCAGCTTTCTCGTGCTTTATGCCACAAATTTCAAATTGGCGACTACACTTCGAAAAAAATATTTTGACAAATTCTCGATTAAAAATTTGAAACCTAAACAAAAGAACATTCTGGAATGGCTAATAGATGGTCTAGATTGTATAGATTCAGTCGTTAAGCCCGTAACAATCGTTCGGAATACCCCGTGTTAAAGTTTTCGAGGTTGCATGGTTAGAAATCACATTCCGACTGTCACTTTCATGATCTGGTAAGCGATGCTCTGAGTGGTCGGATGAAAGGTCGTTCTGGCGTGACCCCTAATGGGATGTCCTCAGATCTTTGTTTAGCGGTAGCGAGAAGTAAGATCTGATGTTAATGAGATTGGTGTTGTGGAGACGGTTATCTCAAGTCACAAGTCAAAATGTCTGAGCATTGGCCACTGTCTCAATACCTCGAACTGTGGATTTGACTGTGAAAGGTTCTATTCCAACTCCCAGCTCTACACCATAATCAAACCATAACTGATTATGTCACACAGATAACATAGAAGTGTGCGTTTTCCAGCATATAAATGATTGAATAATTAGATTACTGTATTGCGAAGTATCACTGTTCAAATGTGAAGTTAACAGATGCCTAGGCACGATCCTGCCCACGTGACTGGCGACTCTCCGTGCCAGCAGTGTGACGACAGATGCTATAAGGTGCTTGACGTGTCTTGGAGCCTCTCTGCTGGGGTCCAGTAACGTGACGTTGCAGGTAGGTCTTGGGTTATGTATCAGAGCCATCTTATTGCGCGGTGACCCTCTTTAAGAATAATTGTCACTTGAAAAATAGATTCTCAATATAAACATGCAATGCGCCCTATTAACAACAGGACCCGTGAAGAACCGGGGTAGAATAGGTCTTCAGCAACCCATGCTTGCCGTAAAAGGCGACTATGCTTGTAGTAAGAGGAGACAAACGGGATCGGGTGGTCAGGCTCGCTGACTTGGTTGATGCATGACATCGTATCCCAATTGCGTGGATCGATGCTCATGATGCCAATCACTGGACTGTCTGTTCCAGACTCGATGATTTACAGACAGCCGTCATATAGCTGTTAAACGGTGCGGCGTTAAACAAACAAACAGACGATCAAGTTTAGAGAAACATACATTGACTTCCAAGTTGCTGTGTAGGTATTTAGAAGTTTAAGGTTAATGCAGTGAAAATAGTTTATTATCCTTGGGGAACCATATTTGCTGCATAATGGTAGTTGTTTAACTTTTAAAGTACAAGCATCCATGATATTAGCCCATGCACCGACAGAGATAGTTAATAACGTTCTCTAACAAAGTACATTTAACTGTCCATTCAGACACTAATATGTTAGTAGACTTTACTCGTAACTTTGTATATTTTTTACTCGTTTGATTAGTAGGTGGTCTATCGTCACTAACTAAAAAGGGTTAAGTAGCAATCATATATACTGTCATTGTTTCAGCTTCCGGTTTGAGAGAAGTACTATTAGACAACATATTTATGAACACAAAGAATTTTAACCCTCGGCGGAATACGAACCTGCAACCTCTTAATCTGTCGTCATTCACGCATCTTCCCAAGGCAAGTGCGTCCACTTACCTTATTATCAAAGCCTTGTTTTCCACCCTTGCCGCATCAAGCCCACTTTCCTGAGCTAAATATGATTGGACAATCGCACTTATCGATAGTCCAATCAGAGAACGTTTCACAAAATCAACATCCACGACTGGAACACCTTCGTTTAAATGTGATTTACCGCTGCCTGTCTTTGTTGACACGAATATATCTATTTCATCTTTTAAACCCCCCAACGATTGCCTATGTTTTTGTGTCAAGGATGAAATCGTGAATGTTTTCGTTATCTGATCGACTAGGTCGTCGCCCATGGTAGTCGCCATGTTTGTGTGCTATACGAGATAAGAACAGCGATCTGATTGGATATCGCGTTTTCGTTAAAAGGGGCACAACTCGTGATCTTCGCGAGGTGGCGCCAGGGTCGAGCCAAGAAAAGCGACCTTGATGTGGCAAGGGTAGAAACTAGGCTTTGATATAGGCTAGTGGACATGCTTGCATCGGGAAGCTACCTTCACGCTACCTGTGCCATAGAGTCTGTTGACGTGAGAAGTGTCAGGTTTCCTTATTAGCTTGCTTAATGTGTACATTTTTATGCTAATATTGTACCAAGTTGTAAGTCCTGGTGGTATATGTGTTATTCAAGTGCCTGTGAATCTGATTTGCACATCTAATGTTAATATTATATATTATACATCTTATCCACATTCAACCTATAGCCGACCGCCTCCTTGGTCTAGTGGTCCGCCCGGAGAGCGGAAGGTCCGGGGTTCGATCCCCGGCCGCGTCATACCAAAAGACGTTAAAAGATGGTACTTGTTGTTACCCTGTCTGGCGCTCGGCATTAAGGGGCTAAAACAAGGACTGGTCGGCTCGGAGTCAGTATACTGTGTCTGAGAGGGGTATTCATGTTAAACTGCGGCATGGTATCTCAGTGAGCTAGCACTATAAATCGGCATCAGTCCGGACTTGTACAAGCAGCCACACACACACACACACGTACATGCACGTCGCTATATAAGTGCAATAATCTTGGACGCGACGTTAAACCCCATTTCACCTCACCTCACCTCAACCTATAGCCTGATGATACCTAAACATGTTTGGGTTATTATGGGGGTGTTGTATTCAGGTGGTGTTTAGTCTGTGAGACAATAGCTCGTTTCATGTGTTTATACCCTAAACGTGTAGATGGAACAAAACGTTTGGGTGAGTGAGTGAGTATGATTTTACGCCGCTTTTAGCTATATTCCAGCAATATCACGGCGGGGGACACCAGAAATGGGCTTCACACATTGTAACCATGTCGGGAATCGAACCCGGGTCTTCGGCGTGACGAGCGAACGCTTATAATTAACCACTAGGCTACCCGACCTCCCCAAAACGTTTGGAATAAAACTATTTAATAATAATTTGCATAAACAATACAGGTGAATGATTGCATAATGATTGTCAGAGGTATTATTTTAAGTGTATTTACACAATACTACAACAAGTAATTGACAGGTAAATAAAACTAACAAATCTTATTTACACTGGCTATGGATTATGGCTAAAACGGCACCTCATCAAATCGGCACCGAGCGGAAACGGCGCCGATTGGCGGAAACGGTACCGTTTGGCGAAAACGGCACCGATTGGCGGAAACGGCACCGATTGGCGAAAACGGTACTCAATTTAACTCAATGTCAAGGTGAAACTGTATTTAAAGGGAAAAACACTTCAAGTTTAAAAGTAGTTAAATATGGCGCGGCTTTTTCTTCTCGGATTCAAAAGTTGCTTTTTAGGGACTATAATTTCGACTGGTCTGACTTATGTTCAGTGCTATTCTAGCTGAGCTGCGCGAAGCGACACCTATCGGAGGATCGAAAAATGAGAAGCCGTAACACGTGGTGGCAATGGGGGCAGTGAATAAACCAAGCAATATAAGTATATCAAACATAAATACTGGTGGCGTTTTCGTTCGACAATCAGAAGCCGTTTTCGCCAAATGAAATCGGTGACGTTTTGCCGAGGTGTCATTATTAGCCTACGCCCGACTTCAAGTACTTAGGTCAAAGAAACCCTCAGGATACAGTTAAATCTGTTCAGGCGTAATGTATAATGAGTGAGTGAGTATAGTTTTACGCCGCTTTGAGCAATATTCCAGCAATTTCACGGCGGGGGACACCAGAATGGGCTTCACACATTGTACCCATGTCGGGAATCGAACCCGGGTCTTCGGCGTGACGAGCGAACGCTTTAACCACTAGGCTACCCGACCGCCCCCGTAATGTATAATACTGTAAGTCTCGTTGTGTTTTAAATAGCATCTGGAATATACATTATGATATATTGGGGAAATATAGCGTGAATCGTTACGCAAAGAGTTAACATTTTTTAGCTATGCCCATTTGCGCTTAGACGGAACCCAGTCGCAGAAATGGCCACGAGTTGCTATTCGGCTTGTCCCGGAATAACACGAATTGGTCACGAATTGCGTGACAGCAGGCTTAAGCGGAAGACAGGAATATCACGTGACAATAAACTTTAACAGGATACTCCTTCTCGCCACAGCTGCCGAGTGCAATCTACCAGACAAGAGAGTAAATTCGTTGTTTACTAACCTCCTGGCGCTTTAACTAGTTACGTTAATGGGATTCACTGGACTTTTGTCTTTGCTCAGTGTGGGTTCACTGAACGAATCCTAGTGCGAGTGCATGTTTTGTAAGCTATGGCCCAAGTGCCCTCTTAGTTAATCAGATCTTTTACTCAGAGTGAGTATGGTTCTACACCGCTTTTAGCCATATTCCAGCAACGGCAGGGGACACCAGGAATGGGCTTCAGACATTGTACCCATGTCGGGAATCGACCCCGGGTCTTCAGCGCTTTAACCACTAGGCTACCCGACCTCCCTTTTACTCAGATACAATAGCTCTCCATATGAAGAAATATCTAGTCAGCCAGAGATCATCGAGGTTTCTATATTCTCGGTTCAAATGAGGGAAGCGTTCATATCTGATTTCTGCTTTAAAGTTGATTTGTGAATTGTAATCATAAAGGCCACGTCATTATATTTTTGTATTGACCCTGTCGTTTCTTAGGGCAATGATATCTGTGGAATATATGTGCTCTGTAAGGTATACTATTATATTCTCCAGAGAACCTTGTGGGATGGGGATGGGGATGGGGTGTGTGTGTGTGTTGGGGGGGGGGGGGGGGGGGGGGGGGGGGCATATCGTTAAGTTCATTGCACTTATCTTAGTGGCGTGGTATCCCATTGGGCTAGCACCATTCACCCGACATAAACCCAGACAAGCACATGCAGCCACATATACACGTGTATGCACGGCACTATCACTGCAAACACGAAACACGTCGGTTTTTTCCGTATATGGTCATTGGACGGAAAAACGACGTTATTTGGACGCTTTCAAACCATCGTTTTTCCGTCCAAATAACGTCGTTATTTGACATCGGAATTTACTGGGAGAGAACGATATCATCAAGCTTCTCCCTTTCTTGATTGGCATTGTCAATCAAGCAACAGCGTCTACCGGTATTCCTACTTCTCAGATTTCATTGGTCAGTTCTCGCGTGTTAGATTACAGGCCCGGGTTTGACGCTGTTCTCGAAGCGCTTAGCGGAAGTACTGAAATCAATCGTTCTGCGCATGTGGATTGCTTAATGCCTTGTCCAAATTTTCCGTTCTGTGCATGCGCGATTTCGCGTATTGTTTCCACTATATGTCACCACTATTTGACAGTGATTCATAAACACAGTCTCGTGATGAGTCTCGGAATCGTACAATGTCGCTTTAATTTATGGCACGTACTTGATCGGCGCGTATTTCCCATTTAAACAAATACAATGATAACGGTAATAATTTTAGTCAAAATAATTAGGAAAGCGCAAGGCTCAGGAACGTCTGAGTATAGGAAAAGGATTTATACTTTCGAAAGTTATATAATCGTCAAATACGCAAAAGAATATCAACCGGCTTTTAAAACTTATTTTTGTAGAAGGTGATCTTGGTGTTTTTTGCCAGATAGTATATGCATATACATTTTCCCGATATTGCTTATTTTAATGTTTATTAATAGATTTAAGGTTCGTCCGCCTAATTGACGGGATTCCACTTTCATTTGTACATGACACTTAAACAGTCACTCACAATGTATCAA